CAGCTGAGCCGGAGACGCCCCTGGCTCTCGGCTACCTCGGCCAGCCTGCTCCAGCCCCGGCCCTCGGGCGCCCGGTCCAAGCTCTCGCTGAACCTCCGCAGCAGCGGCTCCTGCAGGCGGTTGAGGGTCGCGCCGGCCAAAGGCGGCTGTGAGCCCGAGGGTGACGAGGCCTGAAGCGGCTCCCCCCACAGCGACATGGCCCGCGCGGACGACCCCGGACCGCGGCTGCTCCATAGCGCGCCTTTCGCTCGCCCCCTTGCTGGCAGGCTAGCTGCGGAGGCAGGGGCAGAAGGACCAGTCGGGTGGCGCAGCACGGCCCTCGGAGGAGGAAGCTCGGCTCCCTGCTCAGCCGAGAAGTTTGCTTGCTCTTTTTTCCCTATTCTTGAGATACTTTACTAAAGGCGTCCTCAAACTACGGCCGCGGGCCACATGCAGCCCGCCTAGGTCATTTATCCCGCCCGCTGGGTGTTTTTGCTGCTGCTGCCTGTCCTGCTTAGCAGCCGACTCGTCCTGGGGCCCGCAGTCCGGCCCTCCAACAGTCGGAGGAACAGTGAACTGGCCCCCCGTTTAAAAAGTTTGAGGACCCCATATGATCCAGCTCCATCCAGGTAAACATAAAAGAGGTAAAGTCTCCATCTGAACCAGCATATTTTAATAAACATTGGTTTATCCTCACCACGGGGCTTGGAAGAGTCAGAAGACTTCCAAGAGAGATGATGAGACTCACACCTCATTCCAGTCACAGAAGGGCATAGAACAGTAGGGACTAAGTGACCCTGCAACTGTGGGTGTGCTAACTAGGCACGCGAAACCACGTCCAAGGCAAAGATGTGCTTTTATTCTTTAAGAGGACCATCTAGATTCTAGATTCAGAAATGTCATATTAGCAGCCCTGAGATTACACCCTAGTAACTCTGCCAAGGGAGGGGGGGGAGGTAAAAGAAACCACAGACCTAGAGATGGGCCAAGACGACCACTTTGTGCCTTGGGGTTTGCTAGGGGGCTAATTGCTGCTATCTGGGCTACACTTTACTGGTGGAACTGAATTATGGCAAAGCCAGAAGAAGCACAAAGTGTAAGTGCGGTCCCTGGCATCTCAAAGGTATATCTTGAAAATGTAAATGAACAGATTCCATATGCAGACTAGAGGTGATTCACATTTAAAACATTTAAATATAAATTAATCTATAACTTAAGTTGCAACCAAAAGAACACTCAGCAATTGAACGCTAAACGCATTACAGAGGACACCCAAACACAAGGCCATTAAAGCGATGTCATTTTTATTGTGCCAACTTCACATTGATCATGTGCTAGTCTGGCTGGCCGTGCTGTACTGTGCCATGTTATGCCATCTGGCACTGCA